GAGATCGGTTCGCGTTGCAGGAGTGGGGTCGATGTTAGTTTAGTGGCGCTGGACCGTGAGAGATGGCGACGGCGTGGGGAGAGAGGCCTTCATCCAGCAGTGGAAATGGCCAATGGCTCACGACGAAGACAGCTCAGAATCATCGCCAACTGAGATGGGCGCCCCCAGGGGTTGTTTTCCTTCTGAGAAACAGCGACTTAATGAGAACAAACGACCGCACGAAATTAACGCTCTCGGCGTGGCTCACGGACATCTATGTAAACGAGATGTGACATGAGACCCAAACCGCACAAATCGGCTTCAAATGAACGCGCGCACTCAGACCGCTCGCTCTGGGGGTGGGGGCACGGCAAGCACCCCCCCCCTTTTCCTCCGCCCCCCCCCCCGCCGCCGCCAATTCTCCACCCTCCCGCCTTCCCAACCCATCCTCCCCACCCTCCCTACCCGCTCTCTTTGCCTCTGAAAGGGATGAACAGGCGGGCTTCTTTTTGGCGGAGCCACTCATTAACCGCCGCGGGGTCGTGTCGCCCGTGACCCGTGGAGGTCAACCCACCAGCCAGGCGGGGCCTCGGTTTCACCACAGGCAGGCACAGGCCCTCAGAAGTCACGAGATACAAAGAGGCAATTATAATAGGGTCAGAAATTATAAATAAACGCACGAGGGTCCGTGTCGCAACGTAGAGAATCAAATCGCAGTGCTGTCCACCGACCTATAGGCTATATTTCAGAATAGCATTGCTCGACTTGGCAAACATGTAATTTACCTCCGCAGAGTGAAATTACATTTGCCCATAAATGCATCCCTTCTGCGAAACGGACTAAAGTAATATTCTAGTTGTCCTTTACATGGAGTCAGACCTTTGACTTATTATGATTGCACGAGCCACAATCATCCACGACAGCGCGTTACGAGTGTGCGTATCAGCACTCGCGACCACAACGACAACAACAAGAACCTAAACAAACACAATGCTCCACTGCATCACCAAAACAATACACGCGCTCTGTCCATCCGTTCAAAGTCGCGAACTCCAGAGCGCGCCGCTTTCAACGTTTTACGAGACATCAGCAGCAGTCGCAGCTTTACCCCCCCCCCATCGCCCACTACCCCCCCCCCCCCGCTCGCTGTTACTCTGCCGGACCTCACTCACCGCTTGCCACCACCACCAAAACCCATACCCGCCATTCGCCACTTAGTGACGGTGATGTCGCCATGTCGCCTGTGCCAGGCCAGGTGCACTTTGAGGCCACGTGAAGTGTCGAAGGCTCGCTGACAGGAGGAGGTCACGGGACAGACCCAGCGGGTGCCATGGGTCGGCTGACCGAGATGACCGGTAGATGCAACACCAGCTGTACCCGCACCCCCACTGTGCCACCACCACCCCTACTTATACCCCCTCGCACCCCCTGCCTGGAGGACCTCCTGTTCCCAGTGGCGGTGCGAGATTGGAAACATCGCACGCGTCGGTTTACACTCAGACTCGGCGGCGAGCAGCCGCGAATTAATGCAATTGCCACACTCTCTCTTTCTCTCCCTGGGCGCATATAACCTTTCGCTTAATTCTATTCGCTGCAGCCGGCAATGGAAAGAAGTTTTCAGGGGCCGCCACTAGACGCTATTTATAGACGGTTGATTATATCCGCCCCCCCGAAACCACCACCCCCGCGAATCGACCGCTGTCCACAACTCAGCGCGTGGGGGGCAGCAGCCCCCCGTTATTAGCAGTGAGTCGCGCGCCTCGTCACGGTGGCTGTATGACATTAGAGCGATGCATTTATGCGATGTGGCGCGGAACCATTGTGGTGTGGAGTGGAGCATGGGGATGGGGTTGATGGTGATCGAAGGGGGGAGGGGGGGGGCTGGGAGGGAGTGGGAGGGAGCCCCCCTCCCCATCCCCTCCCACTCCACCCCCCACTTCCCCCACCACCACACCACCTAACCCCCAAGACGCAATTACACGCTTTTCCCGTGGGTAATCACCGCTGGGGTTTAGCGCTGTCGTACACTGTCCGCCGACAATTTTCATTCCTGCTCCAGTTTCTGGCGCGACATCTCGGCAGGTGGGGCTGGGCCCCACGCAGAATTGATGGGGTGGCGGCGGTGGCGGCGGTTGTGGTAATGATAATGATGGTCATTGTGGTGATGAATGTTTATGATGTTGGTGGTGGAGATGTCGACGATGATTATAATCAGTGATAGTGGGAGGCTACCAACCATCACAAATCCGACTGTGTTGCAGCTGTTTCTAATATGAACAACGTAAAATGTTATCTTCATTAGGCAATTCACGTTTAAAGAATCATTATATTTAAAATAAATTAAAGACAACAAAATTATTGTAAGAAAAGTATTTTTTTCTTCGAAAAATATTTCTCATCTCCAGCTGCTTGGCGGGGCGGCACCCCAACACCCCTCGCGGACGAACCGCGCGCGTTGCTAGCGGCGTTGCTAGCGGCGATGGTAGCGGTGATGGTAGCAGTGGTGGTGATGGTAATGGTTATGATGGACATGGCGGTGGTTGACGGGTCTGTGATGATGGATGATTATGGTAGCGATGGTTATGTTGGACATGACGGTGCTTGACGTACGTGGCGGTGTTAATGATGGTGGTGGCTACAGGCGAAATCCCTGAGGACAGGGAGTGGTGGCCAATGCGTTGAATGGAATGAGTAAAACGGGCGTCTTACATGACCAAAGTAGTGAATAAACACGCTGTGTGGTGGACTATACACCATACACTACACCAGCGGTGGCCAATACGTGGATCGCTAAACATTTTGTTGTGGATTTAACGACTAAACTATTAATCCATTTGGTATTTTACTAGGTAAAGTCCACTAAACTCTGTAGCTCTTTTTTTCAGGAGCGACCTCGCCACAAATGATAGTTCAAAGAAGTATCATGTGGACATTTATAGCAGCCAAATACTTTAAACGCACGATTCTAAATGCGGAGGGAAAACCCGGAGAACCCGGAGAAAAATCCATGTGACCACAGATGAGAGAGACATGCGAACTCCAAATATACAGGCGTCAGGGTCGGGATCGAGCCCACGACCTCCTTGTATACGAGGCGAGGTAGTTAACAAATCAGAACAAACACCGGCATCATAACAATGCAGCAATAATCATCGTCACGGCTGGTGGCGAATAAAAAAAATCCCCGACTAAAAATGTGTTCAGTCCATTAAAAACACGGTGATATCTACCAAGAGATGGCGCTAGTACTTTACGTCTCGTATTGATTGACAGGGTTAAATTCATCCGGGTAATTGCTGATCACAAGCTGTGTCTGGTGGATCGCAGAGGAGCCCCGAGACGTCCATGAGATGGATCAAAATGCTCATTGGCCATCGCTGTGGCCGCGCTCTGAACAGCGTGGTCGCTCAATGGACAAAGTTCGCTGTAGCCGAGGGCTTGAAACACTTTAGGGGCGACAACCGAGCCTGGGAGAGATTGCGGGCTCAAAAGACGGTGGCGGTCTCTCTTTTTCAACAAGACACTCGTTTGACAATTAACATCTCGTTACACTTTAACGAGTGCTCATGACTAATTTAACGCTGCCGTTGACCTTTTAAAACTGTAATCTGAACTCGCAGATTGAGAGTATTGCGGTGGTGGCGGTGGTAGTGGCTATTGTCTTGATAGTGGTAGCGGTTGTGATGGCACAAGTAGGGCGCACGGGTGGTGCATCTGCCAGTCATCTTGGTCAACCCAAAGATAACGCCTAAGCCTATCCCGTGACCTCCTGTCAGCGAACCTTCGCGACTCCATGTGGCCTCAAAGTGTACCTAGCCTGGCACAAGCGCTGTGGTAACTTCACCGCAACTTCGCGGCGAATGGCGGCTGTTGTTGGTGGTGTTGTTGGCGGAGGGAATAATGGTGGTCGTTGGTAGCATTTGCGTTCCTGGTGATAATCAGGAATACATTTTCCAACTCGCAGGGCTGTCCCTTTTCCTCCATCAACTTTTGAGACGCAAACTGCCGTCTGGCGTTTTATTTCACGCTAGTTCACGTGGATGGAGCATCACGCTCACCACATCGTGACGATGTCGTGGAGAAGGTACAATTAACAAAGGCAGCCTTCCCGGACGACTTGCAGTGTTTCTCCTGATACGTTTTTAATAATCTTGGGAGACATTTCGTAAATTGACTGGTTGCAGTATTTGGCGTTTACACTGAATCTTAAAAAAAAAATATCTTAGCATCCTCTTGTGTGATTTGGGCAACTTTGAATGGACTAATGGCTCTTAAATACACTATTTGTAAATGTATACGTGTATTCTGTATCCTCATGACCCAGCCAACGCAGCCTTGCCTGCCGGGGGAGCTCACCGATGGGAATGTGTCCAGGTCTTTCAAGGATTTGTGAGCTCCTCACACAATCCAGCCTGCTGGTTAAACCCAGGATGGATCGTAGGCAGGCCAGCCTGAATGTTTCTAACCAGCGCAGATGTTCCACGAGAGGAGTCCACGTTTTATATCACCACCATCATCACCACCATCATTATTATCATCATCATCACCAATTGCACCACCAACATCATCACCATCATCATCACCACCACCGTTACCACCATCATCATCACTACCACCACCATCATCATCGCCATCATCAACCACCATCCTCACCACCACCATCCTCACCATCACCACCACCATCATCATCGCCATCATCAACCACCATCCTCACCACCACCATCCTCACCATCACCACCACCACCATCATCGTCATCATCAACCACCATCCTCACCACCACCATCCTCACCATCACCACCACCATCATCATCGTCATCATCAACCACCATCCTCACCACCACCATCCTCACCATCACCATCCTCACCATCACCATCGTCATCATCAACCACCATCCTCACCACCACCATCCTCACCATCACCACGATCACCATATTTTCCACGTGTCAACTTACCCCGGGTCCCTTTAACGAGCGATCCGGTGACGTTCCCTGCTGGCCGCGCGCATGCGCAGTGCGCGCGTAGCGGCGAGGCGCGGCCGGTTCCCGCGCCTCCTCCTCCTCCTCCCGCTCCATCTCCTCGCTCCCTCCTCCTCGCTCCCTCCTCCTCCTCCTCGCTCTCTCCTCACCGCCACCGCTGCTGTCGCTGCCGCTCTTCGCTCACTTCGCGGTCGCCATTCGCCCCGTGAGCTGGCGTCGGGGTGAGTGAGGATCGGTATAAGGGGGAGCGTCGTCCCCCGTCCGCCCCCCGCACCAACTTGGGGAGAAGTGGGAGCCTCGTCTCGGGCTCTGCTCTCCTGCGCCTCCAGCCACGAGGCGGCTCCGCAGGCTCCTCATCCTCCTCATCCTCATCCGCCCTCGTCATCCTCTTCCTCGCCGGTCCCGTTACACCCCCACACCCCTCCCTCCATCATCCCTCATCATCCAATCCCTCATCATCTAATCCCTCATCACCATCACCCCGGGGCGGAGTTTGGTGGTTTTTCGCTGTCGGACCAGTGGCCGTGATTCCTGGGTTTTCTGTGACTTTTATAAACTGGGAGTGTGGTGGTGGCGTGGAGGTGGTGGTGGTGTTGGTGTGGAGGTGGTGGTGGAGGTGGTGTTGGTGTGGAGGTGGTGGTGGTGGTGTGGAGGGGGGCTGCCTGCCTCCGTGACGGCGCCACCCGCTCCGCTGCCGCCGCCGATGGCTCCGTGAGGGCGCCTCGTGGGCACGAGGCGACCACGCAGCTGGGCTCCGACACGGCGCCGCTGGACTGGCTCAGGTGACAGCCCCCCCCTGCCACTACCCCCCCCCCTGCCACTACCCCCCCTGCCACTACCCCCCCTGCCACTACCCACCCCCCTGCCACTACCCACACTGCCACTACCCCCCCTGCCACTACCCCCCCTGCCGCTACCCCCCCCCCCTGCCACTACCCCCCCTGCCACTACCCCCCCCCTGCCACTACCCCCCCTGCCACTACCCCCCCCTGCCACTACCCACCCCCCCCTGCCACTACCCACCCCCCCCCCTGCTACTACCCCCCCTGCCACTACCCCCCCCTGCCACTACCCACCCCCCCCTGCCACTACCCACCCCCCCCCTGCCACTACCCCCCTGCCACTACCCCCCCCCTGCCACTACCCCCCCCCTGCCACTACCCCCCCCTGCCACTACCCCCCCTGCCACTACCCCCCCCCTGCCACTACCCCCCCCTGCCACTACCCCCCCCTGCCACTACCCCCCCCTGCCACTACCCCCCCTGCCAATACCCCCCACCTGCCACTACCCCCCCCCCTGCCACTGCCCCCCCCCTGCCACTACCCCCCCCCCTGCCACTACCCCCCCCCCCTGCCACTACCCCCCCCCTGCCACTACCCCCCCCTGCCACTACCCCCCCTGCCACTACCCCCCCCCTGCCACTACCCCCCCCCTGCCACTACCCCCCCCTGCCACTACCCCCCCTGCCACTACCCCCCCCTGCCACTACCCCCCCTGCCACTACCCCCCCCCTGCCACTACCCCCCCCCTGCCACTACCCCCCCCCTGCCACTACCCCCCCCCTGCCACTACCCCCCCTGCCACTACCCCCCCCTGCCACTACCCCCCCCCTGCCACTACCCCCCCCCTGCCACTACCCCCCCCCCTGCCACTACCCCCCCCCTGCCACTACCCACACTGCCACTACCCCCCCCCCGCCACTACCCCCCCCTGCCACTACCCCCCTCCTGCCACTACACCCCCCCTGCCACTACTCCCCCTGCCACTACCCCCCCCTGCCACTACCCACACTGCCACTACCCCCCCCTTGCCACTACCCCCCCCTGCCACTACCCCCCCCTGCCACTACCCCCCTCCTGCCACTACACCCCCCCTGCCACTACCCCCCCTGCCACTACCCCCCCCCCTGCCACTACCCACCCCCCTGCCACTACCCCCCCCTGCCACTACCCCCCCTGCCACTACCCACACTGCCACTACCCCCCCCCCTGCCACTACCCCCCCTGCCACTACCCCCCCCTGCCACTACCCCCCCCCTGCCACTACCCCCCCCCTGCCACTACCCCCCCTGCTACTACCCACACTGCCACTACCCCCCCCCTGCCACTACCCCCCCCCTGCCACTACCCCCCCTGCCACTACCCCCCCTGCCACTACCCCCCCCCCTGCCACTACCCACCCCCCTGCCACTACCCACACTGCCACTACCCACACAGCCACTACCCCCCCTGTCACTACCCCCCCTGTCACTACCCACACTGCCACTACCCACACTGCCACTACCCCCCCCTGCCACTACCCCCCCTGCCACTACCCCCCCTGCCACTACCCCCCCTGCCACTACCCCCCCTGCCACTACCCACACTGTGGCACGGTACCCACCACCACAATGATATCTCCTCCTGCTGCTACTGCCGTGAGCGTTCCCTTCCCTCCTGCGCCTCTACGTAAGGCTGCACGGGTAGCGCACGCCGTGTGTCTGTGTGTAGCCGTGTCTCTGTGTGTCTCTGTGTAGCGGTGTGTCTGTGAGTAGCAGTGTGTCTGTGTGCGTCTGTGTGTAGCAGTGTGTCTGTGTGTAGCGGTGTGTCTGTGTGTAGGTGTGTGTCTGTGTGTAGCGGTGTGTCTGTGTCGGTGTGTAGCGGTGTGTCTGTGTGTCTCTGTGTGTAGGTGTGTGTCTGTGTGTAGCGGTGTGTCTGTGTGTCTCTGTGTGTAGCGGTGTGTCTGTGTGTAGCGGTGTATCTGTGTGTAGCGGTGTGTCTGTGTGTCTCTGTGTGTAACGGTGTCTCTGTGTGTAGCGGTGTGTCTGTGAGTAGCAGTGTGTCTGTGTGTAGCGGTGTGTCTGTGTGTAGGTGTGTGTCTGTGTGTAGCGGTGTGTCGGTGTGTAGCGGAGTGTCTGTCAGTAGCGGTGTCTCTGTGTGTAGCGTTGTCTCTGTGTGTAGCGGTGTGTCTGTGTGTAGCGGTGTGTCTGTGTGTAGTGGTGTGTCTCTGTGTCTCTGTGTGTAGCGGTTTGTCTGTGAGTAGCAGTGTGTCTGTGTGTGTCTGTGTGTAGCGGTGTGTCTGTGTGTAGCGGTGTGTCTGTGTGTGTCTGTGTGTAGCGGTGTGTCTGTGTGTAGCGGTGTGTCTGTGTAGCGGTGTGTCTGTGTGTGTCTGTGTGTAGCGGTGTGTCTGTGTGTAGCGGTGTGTCTGTGTGTAGCGGTGTGTCTGTGTATAGCGGTGTGTCTGTGTGTAGCGGTGTGTCTCTGTGTCTCTGTGTGTAGCGGTTTGTCTGTGAGTAGCAGTGTGTCTGTGTGTGTCTGTGTGTAGCGGTGTGTCTGTGTGTAGCGGTGTGTCTGTGTGTAGCGGTGTGTCTGTGTGTAGCGGTGTGTCTGTGTGTAGCAGTGTGTCTGTGTGTGTCTGTGTGTAGCGGTGTGTCTGTGTGTAGCGGTGTGTCTGTGTGTAGCGGTGTGTCTGTGTGTAGCGGTGTGTCTGTGTGTGTCTGTGTGTAGCGGTGTGTCTGTGTGTAGCGGTGTGTCTGTGCGTGTCTGTGTGTAGCGGTGTGTCTGTGTGTAGCGGTGTGTCTGTGTGTAGCGGTGTGTCTGTGTGTAGCGGTGTGTCTGTGTGTCTCTGTGTGTAGCGGTGTGTCTGTGTGTAGCGGTGTGTCTGTGTGTAGCGGTGTGTCTGTGTGTAGCGGTGTGTCTCTGTGTCTCTGTGTGTAGCGGTTTGTCTGTGAGTAGCGGTGTGTCTCTGTGTCTCTGTGTGTAGCGGTTTGTCTGTGTGTAGCGGTGTGTCTGTGTGTGTCTGTGTGTAGCGGTGTGTCTGTGTGTAGCGGTGTGTCTGTGTGTCTCTGTGTGTAGCGGTTTGTCTGTGTGTAGCAGTGTGTCTGTGTGTAGCGGTGTGTCGGTGTGTAGCGGTTTGTCTGTGAGTAGCAGTGTGTCTGTGTGTGTCTGTGTGTAGCGGTGTGTCTGTGTGTAGCGGTCTGTCTGTGTGTAGCGGTGTGTCTGTGTGTAGCGGTGTGTCGGTGTGTAGCGGTTTGTCTGTGTGTAGCGGTGTGTCTCTGTGTCTCTGTGTGTAGCGGTTTGTCTGTGAGTAGCAGTGTGTCTGTGTGTGTCTGTGTGTAGCGGTGTGTCTGTGTGTAGCGGTGTGTCTGTGTGTGTAGCGGTGTGTCTGTGAGTAGCGGTGTGTCTGTGTGTAGCGGTGTGTCTGTGTGTAGCGGTGTGTCTGTGTGTAGCGGTTTGTCTGTGAGTAGCAGTGTGTCTGTGTGTGTAGCTGTGTCTCTGTGTGTAGCGGTGTGTCTGTGTGTAGCTGTGTCTCTGTGTGTAGCGGTGTGTCTGTGAGTAGCGGTGTGTCTGTGTGTAGCGGTGTGTCTGTGTGTAGCGGTGTGTCGGTGTGTAGCGGTTTGTCTGTGTGTGGCGGTGTGTCTGTGTGTGGCGGTGTGTCTGTGTGTGGCGGTGTGTCTGTGTGTGGCGGTGTGTCTGTGTGTAGCGGTGTGTCTGTGTGTAGCGGTGTGTCGGTGTGTAGCGGTTTGTCTGTGTGTAGCGGTGTGTCTGTGTGTAGCGGTGTGTCTGTGTGTGTAGCGGTGTGTCTGTGTGTGTAGCGGTGTGTCTGTGAGTAGCAGTGTGTCTGTGTGTGTAGCGGTGTGTCTGTGTGTCTCTGTGTGTAGCGGTGTGTCTGTGTGTAGCGGTGTGTCTGTGTGTAGCGGTGTGTCTGTGTGTAGCGGTGTGTCTGTGTGTCTCTGTATGTAGCGGTGTGTCTGTGTGTAGTGGTTTGTCTGTGAGTAGCAGTGTGTCTGTGTGTGTAGCTGTGTCTCTGTGTGTAGCGGTGTGTCTGTGTGTAGCGGTGTGTCTGTGTGTAGAGGTGTGTCTGTGAGTAGCGGTGTGTTTGTGTGTAGCGGTGTGTCTGTGAGTAGCGGTGTGTCTGTGTGTAGCGGTGTGTCTGTGTGTAGCAGTGTGTCTGTGTGTGTAGCGGTGTGTCTGTGAGTAGCGGTGTGTCTGTGTGTAGCGGTGTGTCCGTGTGTGTCTGTGTGTAGCGGTGTGTCTGTGTGTAGCGGTCTGTCTGTGTGTAGCGGTGTGTCTGTGTGTGTCTGTGTGTAGCGGTGTGTCTGTGTGTAGCGGTGTGTCTGTGTGTCTCTGTGTGTAGCGGTGTGTCTGTGTGTAGCGGTGTGTCTGTGTGTAGCGGTGTGTCTGTGTGTAGCGGTGTGTCTGTGTGTAGCGGTGTGTCTGTGTGTGTAGCGGTGTGTCTGTG